AGGTAACCCAGGCACAGATAGAAAAATAGGATATGTTCTCTGTCATATGAGTAAATCTTGGTGTGTTTAACTTGAAGTGCATATAAAGGACAGAAAACTAGAAAGAAGTCATTAGAAGAAGAACAAGAAAAGGACACTCAGTTGCCCACAAAAGCCATTGGTAAGTCCCTATTGCTAAAGACATCATTATACAGTTATCATTGGACATAAGGAAAGCAAGCTGGGAGTGGTCTGGACTATGTGTTTCTCCTGAATAGCACTCACAGTGTTAGGCAGGCTGTTATTAGGAGATTGACATCTACACTTACTCAGCTGTGGGAACTGTGATCTATACTTTACCCAGCCTTACAAGATATGCTCATTGGTCAATAATGGCTATTGTGCTATAGGGAAAATAGCCATTTTTTTTGATTGGTATTGAGAAGGGTTCAGAGATAGTCTAGTCAACATGGTCAAATGCTTATGGTAAGAAGGGGATAGATCCATTGGTTTTGTCATTATTAAAGACCAGTCTTATTCCGTGGTGATCTGATAAGATGCAAGGGATTATTTCAATCTTTTTGTATCTGTAGAGGCCTGCTTTGTGACCAATTATATGGTCTATTTTGGAGAAGGTACCATGAGGTACTGAGAAAAAGGTATATTCTTTTGTTTTAGGATGACATGTTCTATAGATGTCTGTTAAGTCCATTTGGTTCATAACTTCTGTTAATGTCAAAGTGTCTCGGTTTAGTTTCTGTTTCCATGATCTGTCCATTGCTGAGAGTGGGGTGTTGAAATCCCCCACTATTGTTGTATGAGGTGTAATGTGTGTTTTGAGCTTTAGTAAAGTTTCTTTTATGTATGTAGGTGTCCTTGCATTTGGAGCATAGATGTTCAGAATTGAGAGTTCACCTTGGTAGATTTTTCCTTTGATGAGTATGAAGTGTCCTTCCTTATCTTTTTTGATTAATTTTGGATGAAAGTCGATTTTATTTGATATTAGAATGGCTACTCCAGCTTGTTTCTTGGGACCATTGGCTTGGAAAATTGTTTTCCACCCTTTTATTCTGAGGTAGTGTCTGTCTTTGTCACTGAGGTGCGTTTCTTGTATGCAGCAAAATTCTGGGTCTTGTTTATGTATCCAGTCTGCTGTCTGCATCTTTTTATTGGGGAATTGAGACCATTGATGTTAAGAGATATTAAGGAAAAATGATTGTGGCTTCCTGTTATTTTTGCTATTAGAGGTAGAGTTATGTTTGTATAGTTATCTTCTTTTGGGGTTGTTGGAAGATTACTTCCTTGCTTTTTCTAGGTTGTAGTTTCCCTCCTTGTGTTGGCGTTTCCCATCAATTATCCTTTGAAGTCCTGGGTTTGTGAAAAGATATTGTGCAAATTTGGTTTTGTCATGGAATATCTTGGTTTCACCATCTATAGTGATGGAGAGTTTTGCTGGGTATAGTAATCTGGGCTGGCAATTGTGTTCTCTTAGGGTCTGTATGGTGTCAGTCCAGGCTCTTCTGACTTTTATAGTCTCTGGTGAGAAGTCTGGTGTAATTGTTATAGGTCTGCCTTTATATGTTACTTCACCTTTTTCCCTTACTGCTTTTAGTACTTTTTCAACTATGTTCATAGCAGCCTTATTTATAATAGCCAGGAGCTGGAAAGAACCCAGATGTCCTTCAACTGAGGAATGGAGTCAAAAAATGTGGTATATTTACACAATGGAGTATTACTCAGCTATTAAAAACAATGAGTTCGAGAGGTTCCTAGGTAAATGGATGGAACTAGAAATTATCATCCTGAGTGAAGTAAGCCAATCACAAAAGAACACACATGGTATTCACTCACTGATTATTGGATATTAGCCCAGAACCTTGAAATGCCCAAGATGCAACTCACAGGCCACATGAAGCTCATAAAAAAGGAAGACCAAGTTCAGTTCTTCTTAGAAGGACCAACAAAATACTCAAGGGAGCAAATATGGAGACAAAATGAGGGACAGAAACTGAAGGAGGGGCCATTTGAAGACCTTTCCACCTGAGTATCCATCCCATGTGCAGTCACCAAAGGTAGATGCAGATGTGGAAGTAAGGAAGTGCATGCTGATAAGGGCCTGATATGGATGTCTCCTCAGAGGTCTTCAAGAGTCTGACATATTCAGAGGCAGATGCTCACAACTAGCCATTGAACTGATCATGAGGTTCTCAATGGAGGAGTTAGAGTGAGGACTGAAGGAGCTGAAAGGGTTTGTGGCACCATGAGGAGAGCAACAATACCAACCAACCACAGCTCCCAGGGTCCTAACCACCACCCTGGGAGCACTTATGGAGGGATCCAGGGCTTCAGCTGAATATGTAAGGGTGGAGGGCCCTGCCGGGCACAGGTGGAAGAAGAGATCCTTGACCTCATGAAGCCTGGACGCCCCAGCGGGTGGGAATTTTGAGGGTGGGGAAGTGGGAGTGGGGGGGGTAGGTGGGGGTTACATCCACGGCGAAGAAGGAGGAGGGGTAAGGGAATGGGGGGTTCCCGGGTGGGTGGGGGATGGGGTAAGGGGATAACATATGAAAGGTAAATAAAATATCCAATAAAAAAATAAAATAGAAAATTAAAAAAAAGGAGGGGATAGATCCTAGTGTGTAAGGTGTCTTTGTTATTCTGATAAATGGACACGATGTGAATATCAAAGTCTAAATAACCATGCCTTTCCCCTTATATAGGTCTACCATCAGCATAATCAAAAGATGTTTCTTGTATTTGACAGTGGTGATTTGAGACTCAAAACTAGCAAACATGCTGAGAATAAGTCACCTTTCGGTGTTCACCATAAATGAGACAACTTTAGTCCACAGTATAGACTTAGGAAATAATAAGAAAGAAGGTATGAGATTTTCTTCTTCAGTAGAGTACCTACTGGTAATGTTCCCATGTTCCTGCAAATGACACATTGCCTTGGCTCCAGTAAGCAACCCCAGTAGAATTTACTGGGTCAGAACCACACACATCAAGAAAAGAAATGTGAAAGTAGAAAGGAGAGCTACTTGGAAAAAGGAACAGATCAGCAAGAATGGGAAAATGCAAGGATGTTAAGTGGGCTATTATTGCTATCAAAATACCTGTACACATGGATGTAAATATTAATAACAAAACACTATGTTAGATATAATCAATATATTTCAATAAAAATTCATAGAAAAAGAGGTATGAAGAATCACTTCTCCTACCTATGAAAATATTTTTGAGACCAATAAGAGATTAAGATTTACAGTAGTTAGAAAAATGCATTTTAATGAAAAGTTGGATGGTCAAGCTAATGTATACAATGTATATGAAGCCATTAAAAAAAAAGACTAAGAAAATCCACAAATGAGAAGCATGGTAGGAAGAAAGTAGCATTTGTTATTTTTCTGTTGCTGTGGTAAAACACCAACATGAAAACTACAACTTAAGGAAAAGAGAACTTATCCATGGCAGGAAGAGCTATAGAAACAGGAAGATGGGATTTCATTTCCTTTGCTACAAGCAGAAAGCAGAGGGAGTACACTGGAAGGTGCTTAAGAGTTTAATTTCTCCAAGCTACCATGAATTGAATACTTCCTCCAACATGGCTGTGCCTCATAAACATTCTGGAAAAGCACCAACGACTGGGAAACAAGTGTTCAAATGTTGGAGCCTTGTGTGGAACATTTCTTACTAAAATGAAGTCTGATGCATCTACATTAAGTTGGAAAGACGAGATATTCCAAATGGTGCTGAAATTGTACGTCATGGGGCAAGCTATGGCTGTTTCCTGTTCTTTGGTGGTGTGTGAGAACAGAAAGACTTCACAATCAGATTTGAAATGTTGATGAGCCTTTGGCCAAGAGACTGGTTGAATGTAGAGGCACAAAATGGAGCCTACAAAAGTTCCTCAATGACTAGAGATTTAGACAAGTTAGGTAACCCTCATGAAATTGTGGGTTTTAGCCTCAGAATCAATTTAATAAATACACAGTAGGTGTTTGTAGTCCTAGAATTCAAAAAGTATCAGAAGGAGGAGCCAAGCTTCAAAGTCATCCCGGACTATATAGAGAGTTCCAGGCCAACAAAATAGTCTCTGAGATCTGGCATGGGGAGACTCCAGCGACTCTATGGTGGTGACTCTGTCTGAGACTCTTCACAGTAGGAGTTATGGAGTCTACAATGCCACCTCCTGTTGACAGATAGGACTCCCAGTGGAAGGATAATGACAGCAAGACATTCATAAAACATTTGGCCATGGAGTGTCCTACCTATAAGATGTGTAGGGACAAACATGGAGCAGAGACTGAGAAAATGGGCAATCAATGACTAGACAAAATTGAGGTACACATCACGGGCAAGAAAAAATCTCGAATACTTTTACTGATACTCTGATATGCTTGCAGACAAGAGCCTTGAATCACTATACTCTGAGAGTCTTTATCCAGCAGCTGACTAAAACAGTTATAGAAATCCACAGCCTAATATTAGGTAGTGCTCTGGGAGAATTGTGGAAGAGTTGGGGAAAGAATTGTGGGGCCCCAGAGGCTAAGAACTCCAGAGGAAGATCAACAGAGTCAACTAACCCAGACCTTTGGGTATTCTCAGAGACTGACCCACCAACAAAAAGCTATCATGAGCTAGACATACAGCCCCTTCACGTACGTAGCAGATGTGCAGCTTGGTCTTCAAGAAGGTCCCCCAACAACTAAAGCTGGAGCTGTATCAGAATTTGTTTTCTGTCTATAGATCCAATTCCCCTTTCTGGGCAGCTTTGTCTGGCCTCAGTGGGAGAGGACGTACCTAGTCCTGCAGATACCTTGATGTATCATAGAGGGCAGATACCCTGGGGGCACCTACCCCTTCTAAGAGAATAGGGGAATGAGAAAAGAATCTGTGGGAGGGGGATTTTGAGAGGAGAGGAATGCTGGATATTGGGATATAACATGAATGAATAAATAAATAAATTAAAAATATGTATCTGAGTTTCCCCCATCACCCATATTTCACAGGGTACTCACCATTGCCTTTGAGGAACCATTCAAAATAAGTCCCCAGTGACTCTGGATTCTTCACAAGGTTTGTCTTACCCCAGAAAAAATAACCAGAAACAAGAATATCTCTGGGATTTCTGATGAGATAGATAGCCTTAAATGGAAAAAATGTACATGAAAGTCAATAGTCATTTCTTACTGTTTAAATGACATAATTTGTAAGAAATGTCAGTAAAACATGCAAGAGTTTCTAAAAACCGTTTATTATCTTTATTTGGGTAAAACACATACATGAGTGAAAAAAATATATAGTCATAATTTCCCTTTTCTAATTTTATTTGATTTATAAAAATGAAACAGCAAAATGTCTAGTTAATTGAAAGTGTAAAAAAAAAAAACCAAGTGATTCGACAGTTGTAATGATCAAACAATCATAATTGCTTATCCAACAACAAATGCCGAGCCCATAAAATATACATACAATTAAAATTGGACTGATTAAGAAGGTTGTACTGAAGGATTTAGGAAGCTATAAATTTCTTTAGAATATACTGATTATTTATTTATTTTGTAGTATGTTGTATATAGTAGAACATAAATATATATCTAAATATGTACATATAAACTTTAGAATACATTTAGGAATATGTTTCTGTGAGTGTATATGTATGTATGCTACATGAATTAATAAAAAAGAAGCCATAAATTTGAAAGAGAAAAAAGATGAATATATATATATATATATATATATATATATATATATGTGTGTGTGTGTGTGTGTGTGTGTGTGTGTATATATCCATGAGTTTGGAGGGAGAAAGAGGAATGGGGAAATGATGCATATAATTATGTTTTATTATTATAATTTCAAAACATAAAAGAAATAAATTGAGTGTCATTCATTTTGAAAAGACATATTTATTTTATGTACATGAATATACTGTTGCTGTCTACAGACACACCAGAAGACATCCCATTATGTATGGTCATGAGCCACCATGTTTTTGCTGAGAATTGAACTCAGGATCTCTGGAAGAGCAGTTAGATCTCTTGACCATGGATTCATCTCTCCAGCCCCAAAAATAATCATTCTTAATAAAAAGCTACTTTATATTTTGTACCAATTATTCCAGAACTCATTTATTTAGGTTTCAGCTTCCCCAGCCAAGTGTTTTCCAAATCCAGATATCCACACATGCATATATGTGAATGGCCACAAATTCATTGTGACATTTTAAGGAGAGATTATTCTAAGTTTGTCTCTGCAGTTGGAACATAAAATATTTATACACTCTATGATGGAGGGACTCACAAAGAACTTTCTTACTTACTTGGGGCTATGATTGGTCAGACCCTGGGTATCTCTGATTTCTCCTAGTGATTCTCTTTCAGTTTCATGGGGGATTCATAAGGCTACTGATCTCAATAGACAGCTAGAGACAGAATGACACTGTGTGTACCACTGGCGTTTGAATATTGATGCCTAGTCAGGATGCTTCCCCAATGAGCAACTGTGTCTTAGGTGATTCACCCACCGGGCTTGGGGTATATGCTATAATTAAGACTGGCTTATAGGCTTTGATGACAATAATAAAGTAATATCGACTGTACACAAGAGTTTGAACTCTGCTTGACCTACATATGTAGTTCCTGAATGTTTTAGTGTGATATTTCATTTTATTACTTAAAGTTCCCCAGGATCACTGTGTGATGGTCCACATTCTGGTACTCTAATATAGTTTGAGTTGGGGAAACATCAGTATCACCTAGACAATGAGATCCCACCTTTACATTTCTGAAAGAGCTTCAAAACCTGTCAGGGTAAAATAAGTTCAAAGAGAATTTGGTCAAAGAAAATATCAACCACTGGACACTGACCTTGGACTTGGAACTGAAGAGAGACTTGGGGAATAGATGCATAGGAAGATGGGAATTCATGAGTCGTGGTCCTTCCTTATTTATTAATTCAGAATATCCTATATCAGTTTCTAGCCAGGGTGTACGCTCCCAGATGGGCACAGATTGGACCCACTTGGGATCTCCCTTGGTCTGAATCAAGCAGATAATCTCCGCAAGCCAGTTTGTTCCTAGATTAGAAGGAAAAGTGACAATCACTCACTTCAAGAGTACTTGTGAAAAAGCCTCAAGTAGAATATATATCCATAAAATTTACAGTGATGCCCATTTTCAAGCACAAAGACTCGTGGTGTTCACAATGTTTACATGGTTTAAGTACAAAGTATATTCACTCAGCATACTCTCAAGGCTTCATTTTGCAAAAGTGGGACACTAAACTTAGTAAACTCCAACCTGCCCATGGTATGTCTCCTCAGACCCTGGGTCATCATCATTCTACATTCTGGTGGGATGAATTTGACTATTCCAGATATTTCACAGCAATGTAATCATAGTGTCTATCCTCTGACACTACATCCTTTAATGTAGTTCACTGCCATTGAGATGCTCTCATGCTGCAGTGTATAACTGAGTACATTTTTAAGTTAAATAAGTTTCTTTATGAATATTTACCACACACACTTTCATTTGTGCTTATTTGGTCATTTGTCAGTGGATGTTTTTCTTGCTTTCTTCTCTGAGTTACTGTCTGGTTGTTTTTTTCCTGTATTCCTACTTCCTTTGGATTTTCTGTCATGGTTCTTTCTATATCAGCAGAGTAATCCTTACCAAATGTTAAATGCTTCTTCACCCCAGCAAATATTCACTCCCCAAACCACCATAAAATCAATTTTTGGTTTCTTGATTTTCAGAACCCTTCCACTCCTGGACAAGGACCATCATAATTCTATCTAGCACTCTTTTCTCTTCTACATTTCCACACATAAAAACCTTTATCTCTTGGTGCTATTCCTTCTGTTTATTTATTACTCTCCCTCTCATTCCACCTCTACCCAACAGAGAAAGACAGCAATGCCAGATTCTGCCTCCAGGTCTATCATCATTGTTCTGGTTCCATAGCTGATCATCTCTGCCCACATAGGTCAGATGAGAGCTCTTTCTCTGATTGGCACACACACAAATCTTCATGACCACAAATTATTTTACCCTTTGGCTATGTTGAACACTGTACTTGTCATCCAAAATGAATGAGGATCAAAGCCCTAACATCCCTCATACAATTCAGAATCAGTCTTAATTATGATCCTTACCTGACTTCGGGTAAGTCAATATGATCAAGTCTTCTTCTTTCAACACAAACTTATCACGAACATCTTTCAAAATTTCTTTTTGAAACCCTATGGCTGGAAAAGCTATTCCTTCAAACCAAGTATAGTCTGACATCATGAATAGCTCTTTGTAGGTGCTCTTCAGCTTATAGCAAATGCTGAGAGATAAAATTTATAGTGCAGGTAAATAAATCATTAACAGTATTTAGTTTGTTATGCAACTAGCTATTGATAGGAAATAGTAAAAACAGTAACCCACAGTCAAAGGTAATTTTATTGAGCAATTTTGAACTCATAAAAAGAACATTCTGCAGCATTTGTGAGCCAGAGTTCATAACTCCAAACCAGAAAGTAAGTAAGAAGCAATAGAACATAGAAATGCAGATTAATTTCAAGTGTTTTTCAATATAATTTAGCTTTCAGAATAATTTTTAAATGTGCAAAAACATGATAGAAATCATACAGAAAATTTCCATGGCAATTATTTTTTTAAAAAATAGTGATTGCTGTTGAGAAACTCATACTACCTTAGCTGCCCTTCTTCTTCCCCTCAAAGCACTCCCTCTCTGTCCCATTTTGTAATGTCTTCTTTAATATTTGTTGCCATTTATGTATGCACACTTATATAGACAACCTACTGAGTCCATTCCTTTGGGCCTGTATGTGATGTATCCCGAGGTGTCCAGCTGAGATTGGAAAATCAATGTGGGATTACCTCTGGTGTAAGGACAAGTATTTAGAAAACAGCTGGAAATTATACTGGTTTAGGGAGCTGATGGTAGTAAGCCTCTTGGGTTTTTGCCTTTTCCAGCTCCAGGTGGTTGTCTATGTTTACAGTACCAGACATGATGTCGCTCTTTTTGAGTAGGCCTTAGGTCCAATTATATAGCCTTTGTTACCATCAAGATAAAAGTGCAACCATTGTACCCCTGTGAATGTCTTGCTAGTCAAGTCATTATTGTAGGTCACAGGCTTGATACTTGCATATTTTGTGGGTTTGATTTTTCCTCTCCTTTGGCAGATTGAGTAGCATTTTTTTTTTATGAAAACCATTTCACTCTGAGAAGATTTACAGGCTCTACTAGCTCAGTTTCTCCAAATTCTGTATTTGAAGTGCATTGTGGCTTCAGCAACATATTCTTATCTTCAACTTCTGAGAGTCAAACAATGTCAACAATATTTGATGTTGTTTTGGGGATGATGTCTCTTAGAATCTCCTGACCGACTACTTAAGAGTAGTAAATGTCTCATGCACGATACTGGTGTTTTGTTATATAGTTAGTCATTTTTGGTGAGAATATTATCATTCCAAGTGGCACAATATCATGAAACTGTATTTTAATGTTTTGTATATATGTGTGTATTATATGTGTTTTTTAGATAAATATTGGATAATAATATTCTCTACGTCTTTTCAAACATTCTTGGTAGAAATCTGACATTAGGCTAGAACAAATAAGTAATTTCAGGCAGTAATCTAAATCCTAGGCTAGAACAAAGAAGTAATTACAGACAGGAATCTAAATCTTAATCTAGAACAAAGAAGTAGGCTTCAGGCATGAAAATGATTTTGGGCTAGGACAGGGAAGTAGTAGGCTCAGATATTTTGGTCATCCTGATAAGCCCTTAGAAATAGTGATCATGGGAGTGATCTTAGGATTCTGATTATTGTCCTGCTTTTTCTTTGACTCCCTTGGTTTATTGTCTTAATTGTTCCTCAATATTTGCATCTATTATAGTGCTAGTTCCCTAATGTAGAACTTAATACTTGCATGTAATTTAAATGGTATAAGAGCAAAAAAGGAGGATGAGAGATGAGATAGAGAATTAATTGGGTGGGGGAATATGGAAGGGGAGAACATGTGAAATGTAAATAAATAAAATATCAAGTAAAAAAAATCCAAAAAAGAGAAGTGAATGAATGTGGAACAGTATTGAATTGTGAGAGGTTTCCCCTGCTTCAGAAAGTAGTGACTAAATATATTTTTATAAAACAGACAAAAATTGCTAACAAAGAAACTGTCATTAGCTGCTGAGCAGGGAAACTCAGAGTGCACAGGATACTGTGTGTCCACCCTTGCTTACAATCAGTTCCAAAGCAGGTCAGGTCACCTAGATACACTTATTCTTCAAGAGACTATGGCAATGAATCTAACAGATGCTATTTTCGTTGTTGTTGTTTCTATAAAACAACTCTAGTTTCTTTTCAAAAGGAATCTTAATCTCCAAAGAAAGAAAATACATGATCACTTGTTACAAAGTTTATCACAAGTTTTCACACACATCCACACACAAAAAACAAATCTTAAATTGAAATAGAAGTTTATAACAGAGAATGTGTTCATGCATATCCTTTAGGAGTAGCTATTTAGCTAAGCATCCATTACCAGTCACAGCTCCTTAGGGTCACTAAAGGGTTAAAACCATAACTAAGTTATTAGTGAAGTTTTGTATAGATAAATGCAGTCAAAATTTTACCATCTGTCATAGCACATATAATAAATAGTTAGTTACCTTTTTATGACCTTTGGTTAATTGTTTTACAACCTCTTGGAATATGTTCTCAGTAGGAGAAAGTCTGGCTATTATTTAAGAGCAATTAACTGGTGACATACTGATAACAGGACTCTTTCCTAAATTCAATTTCCTAAAAGATTGCTAAATCAGGGTGAACTTGTCAAAGATTATAGAATAATCTCAAGGAGCCCTTCTCAGGAAGATCATATGCTAGTTATTATCTTGTCCAATTATGATTCCTGACAATCAAGATTTGATAAATGGAAACTCATGAAATTGAGATGCTTTAAGGCAAATTACACGGTCAATAGGACAAATAGGCAAACTACAGATTGGGAAAGGATCTTCACTAACTCCACATTTGAGGGAGGGTCGATATAAAAAATATATAAGGAACTCAAGAAGCTAGCCTCCAAAAAAACAAAACAAACAAACAAACAAACAATAAAAAATGGGTGTAGAGCTAAACAGAGAATTTACAACAGAGGAGACTGAAATGGCCAAGAACCACTTGCAGACGTGTTATCACAAAGACCCTGAAATTATTCTTTACACAAATCAGTATGGCTAAGATAAAAACTCAGGTGACAGTGTGTGTTCAGGAAGACATGGAGGAAGAGAAAGACTCCTACATTGGTTATGGGATTGGGATCTAGAACAACCAAAAAAAGAAATCAATTTGAGGGTACCTCAGAAAATTGGAAATAGATCTACCTGAAGACCAGCTATACCACTCCTGTGCATATATTTAAAAGATACCCTACCATGCCACAGGAACATGAGCTACACTATGTTCACAGCAGCATGACTTTCACAGTCAGACGCTGGATTCAATCCAGATATCCCACAACAGAAGGATGGATACAGTAAATGTAGTTCATTTACACATTAAGAAAGAGGACAATATGAGTTTTGTAGGCAAATGGATGCAACTGGAAAACATTATCCTGAGTGAAGGAGCTCAGACCCAAAGGGATATGGATTATATTAACTCACTAATAAGTGGATATTAGCCAAAAAAAGTACAGAACATGCTGGGTGTAATCTAAATTGTTCAAGAAGGTTAACAAGCCAGAGCACCTAATTGAGGATGCTTAATTTGCACTTTGGAGGAAGAGGAAAGAAATCATGGGGGTAGAGGGAAGGGAACTACATAGGAAAGGGAGGGAAGTGGACTGTGATGAGATATTGAGGGAGTGAATAGGAGTGAAGCCATGAGGGCCAGCAAAAGGAATATTTCATATTTCGTACTTCTATTCCTTTTGCTGACCCTCAGATTGTAAAAAATGAGGTCTAGGGACTTTTCCAATTTCAAATCCATCTCAAGGGGAAGTTCCAAGGCCTGATACTGTTACTGATACTATGTGTCCTTATATGCATAGAAATTGGAGGACCCTCTAGAATGTACCAATTATCTGGGAGATGAGAGAATGTCAAGACTCAAAGGGAGGAACCTTAGATGAAATCCCCAACACTGGGGAGAGGGAACTTGTAGCATCCACCTCCAGTCAAAAGAAAGGACATCAATAGGAGGGATGGTCTTGCCATCCCATACTCATAAACTCTGACCCAGAATTGCTCATTTCTAAAAACAGCAGGGACAAAAATGAAGAAAAAAAAACCTGAAGAACAGGCAGTCCAGTGACTTGTTCAACTTGAGATCCATCTCAAGGGAAGGTTCCAAGGCCTAATACTGTTACTGATGTTATATGTCCTTACAGACAGGGGCCTAGCATTGCTGTCCTCTGAGAGGCCCAACAAGCAGCTGAATGAGACAGATGCAGATGTTGACACCCAATTAATGTGTTGAAATTGGAGACCTTTGTGGTTGAATTAGAAAAATGCTGGTAGAAGCTAAGGAGGAGGGTAACCCCATAGAAGTCTCAACTAACCTGGACACCGATAGGTGTCTCAGATATAGACCAGCAACCAAGCAGCATACACTAGGTAGTATGAGGACCCAAATACATACATATATAACAGAGAACTGTCTGATCTAGCTTCAGTGACAGAAGATTTATGTATCCCTCAAGAGACTTGAAGCCCCAGGGATTGTGGATGCCAGGCTAGATATTGTGAGGAATTGGGGAGTTCGGGGATTGGGGATATTCACTTGGAGACTGGAGGAGAAAGAATGAGATGAGGAATTGTAGGATGGCGGATCTTGAGGGGGATAGTTACTGGATTGTAAAAAAAAAAAAGTTGATGATAAAAAAATTAAATATTAAAAAGAAAAGAAAAAACTACCCTGCCTCTAGATCTTATGGAAGCATTTTCTGAATTGAGGGTCCCTCCTTTAAGATAACTTATGTCAACTTGACATAAAGCGATTATATTATAAAATATTATTTAGTACAATTACAAAATGGGGTATGGCTCATCGCATGTGTATGGAGGTCAAAAGGAACTTTGTGAGGATTCCTCACTCCTTTCTGCTTTAGGTATTATATCCAAGGGACTCATTACATCGGGCTTGCAAAGCAGGTCTCTGTATCTGTTGTGCTGGCTATTGGCCTTTAACATTTGTTTCCTCCCTGGACATAACAACCCATGGTGTAAGATTTTCCCGTAAGTAACCAGCATTATTTCTTGAGGCTATTATTTTCATCAGACTC